GAGTAAATCCACAGCAAATTAGAGGTAATGAGTTAACAATACTGACATGATTTCTATGTAAATTTATGTTTGTCTTGCGTTCAACAAACATACGCATACTTGAATTTCTGTATTTTTTGAGCGAATGAGTACATGGGAATTTGTAATGCATACTTTGAAAGATCGCATATACAAGTATAAATGCATATTTACGAAACTGTGAGTGTGTCAATATATCCAACTTTAAAATAATACAAAATTAACATATTCTTATTTAATTTATTTTAAATCTTTTCGGGATCTGACCCATTTTAGCCTACATTAGAGAAACCAGGGATTAACACAGGGATTGATACGTTCACGCTTTTCGATAGCCGATCAAAGCGACTTACCACAAAATATAGGTAGACCACGAAAGATTGGTAACACAAAAGGATAACATATCACGGATTACAACGGTAGTTTACTTGCAGCTACAAAATGGACTAAAACGTCATAAACATCCTTATTGTTGATAATCGTTGGTATACATCGAGGGGCAACGTCAAACCCACCTTGAATAAATTTTCCATCATAATATCGGGTAATTTGTATTTTGCGGACAGGCGAAAACTAAATGATCCAAGTCTGCTACATCATAATTACAAAATCGACGGTGTAGCTCAGTAGTAGAGCATTGGGCTACATAGCCGAGAGGTCTGGTATTCGAACCTGGACTGAGCTAAGAATTCTTTGTTCAATTTATTCAAAACTTCTTCATCTCGCAAAATGTTCTGATTCCGCAAGAATCTCTTTGTATTTCGTCCAAAACTACCTTCAATTTCTTAATTTAAAATACAAGTATTGCACATTAATTAAGTTGTGTTCTCTCATATTTAACATTTTAAAAATTGACTTTGTTTCTCAAAGCTTTTTTCTTAATTTTTATTAAAGTTTTTTAGAATCTTCTCCATTTCATCCATAATATTATTCCCACAGTTTTCTATTCCCTTTTTCTTGCATTGGCATAATTACCCCAACTTCTAGAGGAAGGTAATGGCTCAAATTTGCGTTTTCGTTTCTTCAAATTTCCCTCTGATTTAGTCATATATTTCCCGAGAATCTTTTCGCCACGATTAATTTCCGCTTATTCTCGCGTTATACCTCCTTATAATTTATCTAGAGCTTTCCCAAAGCTTCTTGCATTACCTGAGTTGAGGTGAATTTTTCATCTGTGGCAGAGATGGGAATTTCCTTAGATCAGTTTCGAGCATTCTGCCGGCTACTCCGAATTGGGTTTTCCTGCAGTTTTCCTAATTCGTAAGGTGCATACCGTAGTAGAGTATAGAACTACTTAAGACCTTCTGTAAAGGCACCTTTAAAAAGCATCATGGTCACTCTGTAATTGGGCGAAAGCCTGTTGAGGGATCCGAACAAGAGAGGGATAATAAATAAATAAAAAATAAACAACAATTTTCTTCAATTTTTCGACCATTTCACCGTAACAAATATCATTAAAGCACTCTGTAGCAAATTTTTCACCGTTACGGCAGCATCGAATACGTGATCTCGTCCACCCTTGGCGCTATGTTGTTGCATTTTTCCATCATCTGTAGTAATTCTGTTTTTGAAAATGGCCGAGATATAAAATGGTTGCACCGATCAAATTGATGGGACCTTTGTCTCGTTGACTAATGTGTTGGCGTAAGTTTTTCTAAAAAAAATCGGAAATCTAAGATTCCTCACCAATAGCCTTACCACGCCATAAACCTTTGAATCTTCTAATATGGTTTCAGAATTCCGAAATTGGCAAATCTCTGGTGATGTTCTGCCAAAAATCTTTCCGCTATTTCCTTTTCTTATATTTCAGGAATCGCTTTGAGTATTCAGTAAATAATAATAATAAATAATACCATTGATCTGGTAGAATTATATTTTTAAAGCGCCTCTCGTCGTCGTTTAATTTTGACGTTAAGGAATATTCAAAACCCACATAATAGTACAGTCGAGAATCCAAAAAATTATTGTAAGGAATATTCAATAAATTCCGATAGACATCGAGGAACCATAAAAAATTAGTTCTCAAAAACGAAAGCGTGATTGTTCAAGAACACTCTAGAATATATGTGAGCATTTGGAAGCGTTCGAGAATAGTGACGCTACCAGGGGTGGGCCGGATGGGATCTGGCCCACCAGTTGCGTTGCTGATTGCGAATTGTGCCGTTGTCGTTGCGGCATTTTGTTTTGGTAATATATATTCACAGTTTATAAATATGTTGCATCAATTATCACATGTGACATGCCTACTATAGTTTTACCACAAATATACACAAACGATACTGTGTGAAGTACCTGAGTATGTATTTTTGGATTACCGTGTATATAACAATTTGCAACCAAACGTTATTAGAAATAGGTATACATTTTGTTTTCATTGTAATTTAAATTTAAACGAATTAGGGCGGGATTTCCGCTCATTCGTGATTTGACGTTCAGTGGCATGAAGGGGATGCGTGAGGGCAGCTTACTTAAGGCGCGCTTTGTATATTTTTATATGATTTCTAATTAGATAAATTCAGTAGAAAAGGTGCTATTGTTCCAAAAGTGTTTTTACATACACATTAACAACAAATCTATGTGTAGAAGAACTTACTTCCTACTTACGAAGGCAGCTATTAAACACCGTATTTTGTGAAGAAATGGCATTCAAACCAAAGATTACTGTTAAAATGATGGAAAGAGGCCGTTGTAATAATCCTATCATTGTCGTCGTTCCACACAATTCAACAAAATTTTCCCACTCTGCGTCCATTTGAAATAAAAAAATTCCCAGGTCTTAAGAAGTAACTTGAATGACGCTACATAAAGGGTGACCTGGCAACTATTTCCGATACTTAACACGTATTTTTACACTACAAGGTGGCTCGATCTCATCTTCGACATTGTTTCAACCGAGAGAAACGACACCCCCATACAGTTGACAACAATATAATATGTTAGACCTCGTGTTAGACCGAAATGAGTGCAATTTGTGAAGTAAAAATTAATTTGAGTGGGGTACTTTCTGTGCAAATAAACGCCTCTACAGAATCTACAGACGATACAGTTAATGGCCCTCAATTTTTGTCACTATAATGAATTCGATTGTTGGGCTTAGCCCGACGACCATTATTTACGTCACATTAGTTTTGAAACAACTCGCGAATGACCAAATCAAAACAATTATACTCGCACGTACAACGATAATATTTTCTATGCGAAAACACATTAATCGAGAGAAGGTACATACAGTGATGATTATTCATATACCGCCATTCTATCATTCGGCAACACTAAAAGAATGTTATTTCAATTGTACCCCACATTACTCTGCATTGCAGTTCAAATCCATCGAAATGTTGGCGCATTATGTTTATTAAGCACGTTTAATTAATTCTACAAATTAGTAAGAGGTAATTTGGTAAATCGCCAGCTATACCGGATTCCCTTTATTGCAACGCGGATTAAGTTCCCTCTCGTTCCAATTCCAAAACGTTTATTTACAAAAACGACAAGTTGGCGTAATGAAACTGACTTCAAGAGAAGCGGGATGGAAAGTACGGACGAATCAAGTTTGTGGTCACGTTCTCTTTTTTCTTGGGGAAGGAAATCTGAGAGGTATGAAATGTTTGCAAATGGGATGATGAAAGTTTCTTATTGGCATACTATAATAGGGGTTCGGAATATGCATAATCTCGAAAGTTTTACACCGGATACTACAATTTCTCTTCGTTAGTTGGAAACTTTTTATTGAAAAAGGAACTTACCAATATTCGTTATGTACGTCCTGTTCGCACAGTGTAATTTAAAGTATCTACTGTACGTTCCTTTTGTAGTTCTGCTACCCCATCTTCACTAAAACATTTTTCGAAATTCGTTACTAATATAAAAAGTATCTATTGTATCCATTTTTCTGCTATACGGTAAACACGTTATGCAAACGGAGTTCTGCCCATAAACTCTATTGAATTACAAATACTACAACAAAACCCTTTCTAAGTTCTTAATAATTACAATAGTAGTGGAGAAGCCGTCCAATGTGGCACGAAAGAAAAGTTTTCCTATTAAAATTTTACGCTTTAACATTCCAAATAACATCTGAAATCCTCCAACGTGGAATGTAAATATTTTAATCTTCCAAACTGAGATATTGCAGATAAGAAATCTTGTATTTTGCTTAATTTTTCGTAAACTGAAAATAGGGTGAGAATTTGTAAACTTCTCGCTTAAAAGCTGCTACCAGTAGGTACGTTTCACAAAAGCTTTACCCGTTCCTTTTGTGTAAGAAAAGAAGCACGTTTATTAACAATTTAGGACTTACATTCCATTAAGCAATTGCTTCGGGTAACTTAATATCCTGTTAGGGACACAAATGTTTTATCATTTTTAACTGCGTATTCTTTTTCAAGTTAAGAAGTTGTGATTTTTTCCTCTAATTGTATCTTTTTATACCTTATAACGAGTGCTTTTGGCGTTTCGTGACATTGTGCTTTTAAATATTTTACTGATTTTTTCATTTTGTATGAGGAAATTCCTATTGGTTCCAACTTTTCTGTGCCCGGCATGTAGGGAAAGATTGCATTTATCACAATAAATTATAAATAAACTAATAAAGCTAAGAAAATTTCATCTTTCTCGGGGTCCGGTATTTACTTTTGAGATGGGTCTTCATAGTAAGGCTTTGGTGCTGCGTTTTTGTACCAAAAGTGTCCACAATTCTGACCTATATACATTTAAGATTTTAAATTGCGGTGGCAGGGCGTTTTTAGAAAGATATTTTATTAATCAACCGAAATATCTAGATATGTGTCGTTTGTAACGCACCACCACATATTATTCAAACAACAGCCATGTAGTTTATCGGAAAATTAATTTTCACTATTTTCACTAAATTATTTAATAGGCTACTATTATACACAAATAGGTGGCAAAAATGAACTAAAAATATGCTAAAACCGTTGTTTTCGCTAAAATGATCACCAACGGATTAATTTTCGATCCAATTACATACCAAGAATGAGTTTTATTGCATGACATACTTCACAAATCTAAGCTAAAATTAACTTATGTTCTTGAGTACATGGTGTGTGGCAATAGGACTGTAATATTAGGCGATTTCAATGTTCCGTATTTTTGTGATAATCACACAGAGGATCCTAAGTCTACGGCATGTAAGGACTTCTTGAATGCAGCTGGTTTTGAGCAGTACAACTATGTTCTTAATGCCAACTTGAGACTGCTGGACCTGGTAATAACAAATGTCCATTGCGCTGTCGCCCGTGAATCACTGCCCATCGTAAAGGAAGATTCCCATCATCCTGCAATTGCTATAACCTTGAGCCGTAGGCTTCCGCCGCATACCAAAACTAAGAAATTTAATTACTCTGATGACAGACAATGGAATTTTCGACGTGCTAACCTTACAAAACTCTATTGTGATATTGGTGCCATTAATTGGTCGTTCTTGGATCATATTACTGATGTTGAGCAGATGGTAGATGCGTTTTATGAAAAGTTGTATCGCACTATGAATGTATCCGTCCCGCGGACGGTCCCAGCTAATACCAATCGACACCCTTCCTGGTTTAATAAACATCTGAAGTCGCTGGAACGTCGTAAACGGCGGTTATTAAAAAAATGGAGATTAACTGGTGACAGTCTTGATTACGCTAACTATCAATACTTAAGGCGTGAAGTGAAAAAGGAGTCAAGAAAGGCGTATTATGCTTATTTGAAGAGCACCGGAGAATCAATCTCTACTGATCCCAAAAATTTTTGGAAGTTTGTACAATCCCGTCGTGGCGTTTCGCGGATACCTAGCGTCATGATTGGTGTCGACAACGAAAAGTTGGATGATCCTGCAAGGATTGTCAATGCATTCGCATCTTACTTCGCTAACAGCTTTGCTGTGGACTCCGCTGACCCAGATAAACTTCATAAAGGTGATAAAATTTTTCTCTCTGAATGGATAACTGTAGAGGATGTTTTAACTGTGTGTGGTAAACTCCCGACAACTTTCATAAGTGGTGAAGATAGCATTCCGAGCTTCCTAGTGAGGGACTGCCAATATTGCCTAGCGCAGCCTCTGGCGCGCATTTTTAATTTATCCATATCGTCCCATGTATTTCCCACCAGATGGAAAACGGCGCAGGTGCTACCAATTTTTAAAAAGGGTGATAAATCAGTGATTCAAAACTATAGACCTATCTCTATACTCAGTAACTTTGCTAAAGTACTCGAGTCATGTGTATATAACATCTTGTTTGGTCAATGTAAAGATTATTTCTCAAGCAACCAGCATGGATTTCTTCAGGGTCGCTCGACTGTAACCAACTTGACTTGCTTCACTGAGTTCATAATGGATGCTTTTGGTTCTGTATCTCAAGTGGGCGTCATTTACACCGACTTCTCCAAGGCGTTTGACAACGTTTGTCATAGGTTACTCATAAATAAGCTGAAAAACTTTAATCTTAGTAAAACATTTGTTCTGTGATTAAGTTCTTACCTTACTGATCGTCGTCAATGTGTATGTTATAAGAACTTCAAATCGGATTATTACAAAGTGTCCTCGGGAGTGCCACAGGGGTCAAACCTCGGCCCACTCTTGTTTATTATATTTTGTAATGATATACTTTCATCCCTTGGTGATTGTGCCCTTGGTTATGCGGATGACATAAAAATATTTAATAAAATTGAGACTTTGAGTGATGCACGTGATCTGCAGTATAAGTTAAACTTACTCGTCAATTGGTCGCTGTCTAACAAATTAAATCTTAATGTGGATAAGTGTAGTGTGATGTCGTTCTCTCGTAAGCAGGTTACGCAATTGCATAATTATGTTATAAATAATTGTTCGCTTAAACGTTGTGTGATGATTAAGGACCTTGGCTTAACGTTTGATTCTAAACTGAACTTTAATACCCACATTACCACCATTTGTTCTGAGGCGTTAAAGCTCTTAGGCTTTATTTTTAGGAATTCAAGAGAGCTGAAATCTGAAGATGCTCTGAAGACACTATACAGGGTGTTTTTTTGGGAGCCTTAGTTAAAAGTTTCTGGGAAAGTAAAATAGGTAGGTTTTTGAAAATTTGTACTTAGGAGTTACTCTGAAGGCCGAATCGATGTAAAATATTTTCAAAATGGCCGCACTTCCGGAAACACCGGAAGTAGATAGTAACTTCGTTATTTTAAATGGCAACCCCTATTTTTTATTGCTTTTTTGGATTCTACGTGAAATTTCACTTCTTTTGATACCCATATGTCGATATCTACCATTTATGGTTTTTAAGTTATTTTGACTTTAAGAAAAAAAATGGCGGATGCAGATGGTACCTTGATAATTGATTACTTGCAAACGGTTGTAGTCATGGCAACCTATTTTTATCAGTGCATAGAGAATGAATAGGGCTTTCTTTTAGTGCACTTAAAAAAAAGTTAAGTTGCGTACGACCGCCCCTATGGATATCCAAATTTATGAAACTTCAAAGACTAAAAACTCAGTTTTTTTTAATGGAATGACCACGTTCTTACTATTCCATGAGATAGAGAATCGAAATGGGCATATTTTGACAATACATGTTCCTATAGCTATCTTTAACAGTTTCTGACTTATTCCCATTTTATTGAATTGACACTATTTTTTTAGGATTTTCTTTTTAGTAGTCGGCCATGATTCTATAACAATTGAATTTTAAACAAATCTAGTGACACTAATCCATCACCCACTGTTATAGGTTAACATAAGTTTTTCAAAAATCGAAAAATGACTCGCAATGGTTTCACCTATTTTGGAATTTAATTGTTATTTATGGTGAAATGGGCAGAATCGCGGCGCGTGCTTTCCGTACATTCATTCGAAAACTAGAACGAAATTGTATGAATTTTTGAAATTTTGTACCCCTAATGCACTACAAACCGTTGAAGCACAAGTTATACAAAGCTCTACAAGAGAATATTTAAGAAAATGAATTGAATTGCAAATGCAAGATTAACAAAATAAATTCAATGCAAAATATAAAAAACTTTGTTGAAACATTTTTGGTATGGAATTTTTGCTAGAACAGATATCGCATTACCTCTCTTAATTTCCAGACTTATACGTTGTTTAAGAAATTCAGTTGAACGACTCTGTTTAGATTTTTCAAAAATTTTCTGTCCTATATCCTTATTAAATGAGTTATTTATTAATGAATTATTTAGACTAGAACTAGAATCAGTGGTATTAAAGAATCCATTCCTTGATTTGTTTAAAATTCGATTGTTATAAAATCATGGCCAACTACTAAAAAGAAAATGCGAAAAAAAATCAATTCCGAGATCAATTCAATGAAATGGGAATAAATCAGAAACTGTTAAAGATAGCTATAGGAACATGTAATATCAAAATATGCCAATTTCGATTCTCTATCTCATGCAATATTAAGAACATGGTCATTCCATTTAAAAAAACTGAGTTTATAGACTTTGAAGTTTCTTAAATTTGGATCTCCATAGGTGCGGTTGTACGCAACTTAACTTTGTTTTAAGTACAGTAAAAGAAAGCCCTATTCATTCTCTATGCACTGATAAAAATGGGTTGCCATGACTATAACCTTTTTCAAGTAATCAATTATCAAGGTACCATCTGCATCCGCCATTTTTTTTTCTTAAAGTCAAAATAACTTAAAAACCATAAATGGCAGATATGACATATGGGTATCAAAAGAACTGAAATTTCACGTAGAATCCAAAAATGCAATAAAAAATAGGGGTTGCCATTTAAAATAACGAAGTTACTATCTACTTCCGGTGTTTCCGGAAGTGCGGCCATTTTGAAAATATTTTACATCGATTCGGCCTTCAGAGTAACTCCTAAGTACAAATTTTCAAAATCCTACCTATTTTACTTTCCCAGAAACTTTTAACTAAAGCTCCCAAAAAAACACCCTGTATAATACACTCGTACGCACTAAACTTGAGTATGCTTCTGTGGTTTGGTCGCCAATTTACATCACCTACAAAATTAAACTTGAAAACATTCAAAGACGTTACCTCAAATATTTACTATATTTACGCCACGGTGCATTCCCAGAGAGAGGTGTAGATTATGGCTCTCTGCTTCTCGAGGGTGATATTGGAGCTCTTGAACGTCGTAGGGAATTTCATCAAGCCAGGTTTATTTACAACTTGATCATTAACAAAATTGACTCGCCTGCACTCTTGGCGCGCATTGGTTTTCATGTGCCTCAAAAACATCTCAGGAGGAACAACCTGTTTGTTTATAAACAATCCTTGTGTACGTCACTGATATCGCGTATGTGTGCCTGTCTTGAATCGGTTAATCGACATGTTGATATCTTCAACTGCAACGTGCGCGATATCTCTATCTGTTTTCTGTGATACTTGTATACTAGATTTATTTACATTATTTATATTTACATTTATTCACTTTCTCATCTGTAATTAGGCTCTGCTGTTGATGGGAAATAAAATATATTATTATTAAAAAATATATTATTATGGATTTTTGTGACAGACAATTTGTAAAAAAATTCGTAATTTCTTTGCAATGTTCGATTATTTTCCCCAAAAACGCGTTCTTTCCTCGTAAATAGGAGAAAACCCCGGAAAAATACCAGGAGCATTTTTTTTTGTTGGAAAAGTTGGAAAACTCTTCATTAACATTTTCTTACGAAAATATCTCGGAAAATATGAAACATAAATTATGAGCAAACCCGAAAATGTAAAATTGCGAAACTTGTTAAAAAAATTTAGTGGATGCCTAACCGGCTGTTCACATGTGGCCAACCCCATTTAAACTACATTATTATAGTACTATACAGCCGCCTTTCTAAGCAAAAAGCTCTATGCAATGTTCATGATTCTCCTGAAAGTAATATTAAAAGCTATTTCGTTTGAACAAGACTAAAATTGCTGTTGTTTTAACGTTTCAGTTGAAATTATGCACCTCAAACGATTCGATGACTATCAGAGGTTGCAGTGGAAGCCGTGCAGAACCAATTTTGAATCGATAAGCTTGTGTTGAGGATATTAAAATCCACACTCCATACAACACACGGGACACATTCAATTTTCGGTGTTATTCAAATACTTGTCCCTTTTTTGAACAATTTTCCCCCAATTTAAATTTTATTTGCTCTTAAATATTAAAACAGGTCTTCTTTGTGGGGCTATTCAATTTTGTACGCTTTCCTTGTATGTCTAACCGCAAAAAATCGCAATTTCATCTTTGGAGTTTACTTAAGACGCAATTTCTGTCGCATAAAGCGAAGTAGTTGCTTCACTATATTTTTACAATAAATTCCCCGACTTTGGATAACTATTTAAGGGACTGGTATTACTAAAAGTAAGGTCGAGAAATATGCTTTTAACTTAACTACCCCGTCAAAATATATACTTATAGCCTTTCGATAGAGAAGAGCTTTTCATTAGAGGATGGGCCCACGTGATTGCAGGTGCCTATACAACTTCAGATGTAAGGGTGGCAACCATTACCATTCTCCCTTACTTAATTTACTAAGAATTATTCTAAAAGTGAGTGTTGTGTCCCGTTGTAATATAATTTTTTCCTTTAACATTTCGTTTTCCGTTTAACTCGTTACCTTCCGTTTTCCCTCCCTAGCTTACTTAAAGTGGGTTTCTAAGAGAGGGTAGTCCGGGCGAGAAATTCAGTAAAGCGCCCTGTTAAGGTTCTAACGGCAAATCGTGAGACAAAGAATTTTAGTCTGTTTTTAGGGTAAGTGGACACTGGTGAATTCGATTTTACCTGTCACCATCTGGAAATCCGGCTACTAAGGCCTCAAATCAAGATGGCGGTCAAAATGGCGACTAAAACTCACTTTAACATTTTTTTCTTGTTGAAAACAAAAATATTATCACGATTTTTATGTAGCACATACGTTTTTCGAGTTATTATTATTTTATGAAAAACTTTCAAGCCAAAAAAATTTAAAATGGCGACTGAAATGGCGCTCCAAATACTGCGTTTTGTAGTATTCTTGATTTATTTTACCTTAAGTGAGCAAAAGAATTGTAATTTGTTTGCAAAGTCCGGATTAAGTGAATAAGTAATACAAACACTTCATTTACATTTTTTCAAAAATGGCGGACAAGATGGCGGAGACAATATGACGTTCGACGCTGAATGTAACTCGCCAAAACTTCTTCTTTAACGTCATGTAAGCCGATACAGTGGCAAGTCTCATAACGCCTTCAAAAGTCATTAAAGTAAGCAATACAATTTCAAGAACTAACCAATCACCTCCGACAGCAGAGTTCAGGTCTCTTAACAATCGAGTTGTACCTTATGAAACACCCAGAATTAGTACACCACTTATCGTTACGGAAGATATTAGCGCTGCCCTTCCAGAACCGAACCTGTCTCAGCAAAGGAAGTCAATACCATTGATATGCTGTGGATGTAGGGACACCAGATCCAAAAAAACTCCCGGATTTATTGACGCAGTAACTTCTAAGAAGAGTTCAAGACCGATAAACTTCTTCCATTGCCGTTCGTCAATCTTTCGCCTTCCAATCCTACTACGATTTACAGCTCCCTTCTAATCACCGTGGAGCCATGCAGAAAGGCGCAGCAATCGACTTGCGTTCGACCGAGCTCTCGAAGGAATTCAAGTAAGTTTCTACCGCCATTTTGACCGCCACCTTTTTTGCTACACATTTTTTAATAAGATAGTAATAAATAGTAAATCGCATGTACTACATAAAAATCATAATAATATCTTTGTTTACAAGAAAAAATGTTATAGTGAGCTTTATCCGCCATTTTGGCCCCCCATCTTGATTTGGGTCTTTTGTAGCTGAATTTCGTTGCGACAGGCAAAAACGGATTCAGTAGGGTCCAATTACCCTAAAAACACTTGTCACGAAAATGTCTCAAGATTTGCCGTTAAAATCTCAAAATTCTCGCCTGGACTAGGTAGGGTTGATTACGTCGCATTGCGCGCTAGAAAACCCCCAAGTACGTTCATCGCTTATTAAGAAATCCACCA